TTTGGTAGCCAATTTTATTGACTTGGTTTGGTTTGGTAGTCAACCTTGTTGAAATTGTGAAAGGGTGTGCAAATTGTCAAATATTATAGGCTTTAGAGAGTGAGGTTTTGGCTATAAAAGAAGAGCTTTAACTCTCATTTCTACACACCAACAAAGAGAGAAAAGAGAGAGAGCAAGGTATTCCATAAACTATAAGAAAATAGTTTGTGAAGAAAAATAAAGTGTGAGAGATATTATAGTGAGGTGGAAAAAGCAAAAGAGTATTTATTTCTTTTGAGGGCGTAGTGGTCTTAGGAGTATTTTTACTTGTTATTACACAGTGTAAAATTCCTCGCTATAGTGATATCGGTTGCTCTTCTTGGCCGTGGTTTTTCCCTTATTCAGAAGGGTTTCCACGTAAAATCTTGGTGTCATTATCGTTGCATTTCTATTCTTGCTGATTTAACCATAACTTAGTGTTCTGCGTTTATCACTAATACCGTGAATATTATTTTTACGGGGTTTATTCCCAACAGTATATAATTTGTATCTTGAAATGCATCCTTATGCTTTCTTTATTTACTATTTATGGAGGATCGAAGAGATCAAAGGTGGCTAATGGAGGAAGATATATAGCAAATAGATCCAGGAAAATTAGACAAAAGTGACATGAATTATATATATAGTAACGTCAATTAACACAAGTTATACAGAAAGGATACGTGATACACATAACTGATCACAAAATTATAATACTATGCACGCCAATACAATCAAAAGCAAATCAATGTGGACACTATGTATTACTTAAAGTACGATATTAATTTCTATATCCACTCCCTGTAACATCCTTCAGAGATTGAATAATGCCAATCTGGAAACATTTCTTTGTGGGGGTTTTTTCAAATAAAATGACTAGAAGTATTATCATATTTAAGGAGTTGTAGGTTTGTAAGGTGGAGAAAGAGAAGGAAAAGGTGTGTCCTTTGGATGGCTTGGGAATGTTGGCAATTCGGGTTTAGGCAGTTCCGGGATTTCTGGCTTTGGTATACTCGGCATCTCGGGCTTTGGCATAGCTGGAACTTCGGACTTTGGCACTTCTGGCTTTTTCACGGGAGGAAGCTCAGGTTTTGCCATTGCGGGGACCTTGGGTTTTGGTACATCTGGAATTTCAGACTTTGGTACTTCAGGCTTTGGCATGTTAGGAATCTCGGGCTTTGGTACCTCAAATTTTGGCACAACTGATAGCTCAGGCTTTGGCACAACTGGAGTGTTAGGTTTTGGCAAAGTTGGTAACTCAGGCTTTGACACAGTTGGCAATTCAGGCTTTGGCACAGATGGTAGCTCGGGTTTTGGTACACTTGGTACTTCAGGTTTTGGTACAGTAGAAATTTCAGGCTTTGGAATGGCTGGGATTTCAGGTTTCTGTATGGTTGGAAGCTCTGGTTTTGGCACCGCTGGGATCTCAGGCTTTGGCACAGTTGGTACTTCAGGTTTTGGTATAGTAGGAATTTCAGGCTTTGGGATGGCTGGAATTTCAGGCTTCTGTATAGTTGGAAGCTCTGGTTTTGGCACAGCTGGGATCTCAGGCTTTGGCACAGTTGGTACTAAGGTTGTATTGTGGTTCGGGCCCGGGCATAAATGGGCCAAACGGGCCTGGGCTTAGGCGGGCCGGGCTGAGGCGATCCCGGGCCTAATGGGCCAAATGAGTGGAACTGGCCCACTGCGGTCCTAAGCCCACATGGTCCCGGGCTAAATGGGCCGGGCCCGCGGGCCTAAACGGACTTTTTCGTTCCGGGCTATTTTTTTTAATTATTTTTATCTAAGGCAATTTCTTGTAAACTATATATGTATATACTAATATAAATTACTTATATATAGCTATATAAATATATATAGTATATATAGTATGTATATATAATTATATATTGTCTTATATAATATATAGCTTATATATATATAGCTTATATGTACTAGATATATAATATATATACTATATCAAATTTAAACACAAAATAAATTGCAAAAAAAATTCAATGGAATGTCTTATAATTTTTATTATTACGACATTATCAAAAAATAACAATATCTTTCTTAGTCTTCCTCCCCCCAATGGAATGATCACAACAAGATACTAATACCACCATTAAAAGGAAAAAAACTAAGGAAGATGTGCCAAAATATAAGTTACATATTAGTTTATGTATTATCTCTAACAAATCTCATAAATCCTTCAAGGTCCGGAGGAATTTCTGTTGGTGGTGGTGGAAAAGAAGCTTGTTCATCACCACTTCTAGGCGAAGCAGCATCCTGCGCAAGTTCCGCTAGCATTTCTTCATAAGCTTTGTCTATCTCCAGTTGTAATTCNCTAGCATTTCTTCATAAGCTTCGTCTATCTCCGGTTGTGATTCAGCAAGTTCAAAATTTCTTCTTTCCGAATGGATCCAATCTCTGAAGAGTACTGATTTTTCCAAGCTCTCCCTCATAGATGCTCTATGATCACCGATTTGAAGTCTCGCTTGACTGAAAGCGCTCTCTGATGCCACTGTTGAAGCTTGAACACTTAAAACATCTCGAGCCATCCTTGAAAGAACCGGATAGTGTTTTTGTTTGTCCTTCCACCATTCCAAAACATCTAAGGAACCGTTGGGATTCTCTGATTCAAGTCCCTGCGACAAATAAACCTGAAGCTCATTTAGTTGTGAACTATCACCAATATTATCACCTTGAGAACCCCTGAACTCCGTCCAAGAACTAAGGGCTTTTAGGCTCGCAGTTCTTTTAGATGCTTGCGAACTAGACGAAGTAGAATTTGGAACATTTGGTCTAGCATGATCTAAGGCAAGTTGATAAGCATTATAAATTGTTTGAGCATTTATTTTAATTGAGGCTTTTGCATCTCCAAGTGTAGCAAATTCCTCAGCTGAAAGTGATAAAGTGTTATAAATTTTTGAATACCAAAAGTGAGAACCTCCTAATTTCATTGTATGATTTAACACTGCAGCAACACCAAAAATAGGGGGGATAGGAAAAAAATATTTTTTAAACTTAGCTTTCATAGAATCAATAGCAAGTTGATAAATTACTCCACCCTCTGAAAATTGAGTAAACAAATCTGCAAGTGCTGCAATATAAACTAAACAGTTAGAAATAATAGGATAATATTGCTCAGATAATTCATTTGTAGCAACATGAAATTGTTCTAAAAAGTCTACAAGCATTTTAACATTAGTCCAATCTTGATTTGTAAGGTGCTCATCATCATCATCACCTACACGAGCATTATATGTTGTGCTTATTGGGTTTCTATATTCATATGCAACAATTAAACTTTCATACATGCAATTCCATCTAGTCGAACAGGGTTTAGGAACCTTTCTTTCTCTAAGGCCAAATTCATCACATTTTTTAAAATAGTCTCTAAGTCTACTTCTACGGTTTGAATAAAAAAGCCAATTAAGAGCCATTTTAACCTTTTCAATTTCTACATTTAAAACTTTCATACCATCACCGACGATTAAATGGTAAATATGACAAATACATCTAACATGAAAAATATTACTGAATGCACGATTTAGTGTAGTTGTAAGCAAGCCTATACCATTAGTGTTACTAGAAGCATTATCCATTGAAACCGACATTATTTTATCTCTAATGCAAAAATATCTACAAATATCTGCAACTATGTTAGCAATAAACTTACATGTGTGGCGTGAATTAATTATTCTATAAGCAATAATGCACTTTTGTATTATCCAGTCTTCATCTATCCAATGACTTATAACAGTTAGATAATCACAGTCATTACCACTTCTACCAATATCAGTAGTAATAGCAATGCGACAATCTATATGAGTAAATAAATAGCGCAAATATTGTTCATATTCATGTTTATATTTATAAATATCACTCTTTACAGTTGTGCGAGACCATCCTTTATAAGTAGGATTAAAAATTCTTCTAATATAATGCACAAAATGAGGGTTAGAAGGAAAACTATAGGGTAAGCACATAACAATAACCATTTTTGCCAATTCTTCACGATCTTTATTTGAATCATAATATAAAATGACACCAGTAACAGTGTTAATTCCCGGTTAAACTAGATTTGAACCTGTACTAGGGTTAACCATAGTATCTACACTTGTCCCCTCTTGCGCAGCTTTCATTTGTAAATATCTAGCTTTATCTCTAGGGTGTTTCAATATGTGTCTAGTCAAACTACGTACTGCTACGGTCTCCAGTATATTTATGAGCCATCAAAGACCCACAAGTTTTACACTTAGCCTTATTTTGTTCTCTTAGTTGAGTAAAAGTGCCAAATAAGAGATGTTTCGGGCCGTTTAGAATGTTTTCTATTAAAAGTAGGGGTTACTACAGGAGGGTCAGGCGGGACATCAGTTGGGTTATTAACAGGACTAGTAGGTGTATCATCTAAATCCGGTTGCGTTTCATCTAAATCATCATTTTCCTCATCATTTTCAAAGATAGTTTCATTAGGATAAAGAGCATTCATAACTTCTTCATTTAATTGTTGACCCGGTGCAACATCATGGCAAAATTGACTATCGAAAAATTGAAAACAAGGGTTATCACTATCAAGAATAATAGGTGGAGGAGGACGGGTAACAGGTCTGGGTCGGGGAGCCGGGGGAAGAGTAGTAGCTTGGTGACTAGATTCACCAATTTTAGATTTTCCCTTACCCTTACCACCAAATATTTTTTTCAAAGAAAAATCCATATTAATTATAATTATACTAAATAAAACAAACAAAACTATAATATTAAAACTTAAGAGTTGGAACGAGTTTACCGAATTGACGAACAACTTCTTGAAAATTGAATATCATTGAAGACTTGAATACTTCAATTCACCAACTTCACAATTTTTCACGAAATTGCAATAATAAAGTAAGCAATTATAGAAGAAAATTAGAGAGAGATTGATGAATTTGTGAGTAAAAATGAAAGAATGAGGGGGTATTTATAGTTGAGAATATGAAAAAAGTGTAATTATAAAAAGTTTGGGGGCCAAATGGCTATTTTTTAAAGTTCCAAATGGCTGAAAATTGAAGGCCAACGGCTAGATTTTAAAAATCTGACCATTGGCCCTTTTAAATTTTTTTTTTAAAAATATAGTTGTTGGGGCCCGTTTGGCCCGGTTGAACCGGCATAGGCCCGCCTGCCGGTTCCGGGCTAAACTGTCCCGGGCTCACGGGCTATTTGGTCAGGACCGACCCACTATGGGCTTTTGCACCACTAGAGACCGGCCCGTTTGAACCGGCCCATTAGGCCCGTTTGGCACGCGGTCCCGGGCCGGTCCCGGGCTAGGCCCGACCCACAATACAACCTTAGTTGGTACTTCAGGTTTTGGTATAGTAGGAATTTCAGGCTTTGGGATGGCTGGAATTCCAGGCTTCTGTATGGTTGGAAGCTTTGATTTTGGCACAGCTGGGATCTCAGGCTTTGGTACAGTTGGTACTTCAGGTTTTGGTATAGTAGGAATTTCAGGCTTTGGGATGGCTGGAATTTCAGGCTTCTGTATGGTTGGAAACTCTGGTTTTGGCACAGCTGGGATCTCAAGCTTTGGCACAGTTGGTATTTCAGGTTTTGGTATAGTTGGAATCTCAGGCTTCGGAATGGCTGGGATTTCAGGCTTCGGTATGGTTGGAAAATCTGGTTTTGGCACAGTTGGGATCTCAAACTTTGGCAAGACTGGGACTTCTGGAAATTCCGGTTTAGGAATTTCAGGAAGGGGTGTCTCCAGAAGACGACGTGCTGATACACCACTAGTTATGTGGCCATACATGAATAAAGTGAGAAATGCAAGTGGTAAGAGGTTGGATAGATGGCAATGCTGAGCCATTTTTTGCTGCAAATCCTAGAAGCTTAGAGAAGAATGTGTAAAGGCTGGATGTGACTTTGGCCTTCTGTTTCTTACTATATATTGGTTCTACATGCATGCAATAACAAGGACTTCAGGATTATGTTGTTGGAATGGGATGTGTAGTTGAACTTCTCATCTATTATTTTCTTTCCTACATTTTCTTGAATTTGTCTTCTGGTAGCTCAAACCTTTAAACTAAATACCTACTGATAATGTGATAGTCAAAATCTGTCATCATCATATCCAATATGCTGGCACTTGTTAGAAACTTCTCTGCTGTTGCTTCAATTTCCTTGCAAAGAAAAGAAGCCTGAAAAGTCACATTTTACGCTAACCTAATTCATTTGGTTACAACTTAATTTGAATATATTGAGGTTTGACAATTCCTCTTCACTAATGGCTCTACATAAAAAGGAAAACTTGCCAGATTTTACGAGTGCCAAACAGAAATGCCATTAGTTAGTTTAATTTTCTTATCCAGCTGATGAACTCTTGGCTAGTAAATATCACTATTAAGAAGCAAACTGTCTACTACCTTATTCATCAGATATATTACAGTAATTGGAGACCTCTAAATTGGAAAAACCCAAATGTAGTTACATCTTTTATTATTATTTTGTTAGAGTTGGCCAAAAGAGAGACACCTTAGTGTTATGTGTTTGTCCTGAACAAAAGAGAAATATATTAAAAGGACACAAGCACTTAGGTTTGTAAAACAGAGGATATGAACTTTCACAGGGTTTAATTTGCATAGCACAATGCTAATCTTAATAGAACTGGCACTGCTGGTTCTTTCCAACTCTACATAAATATGGTGGATTTTAAATTATGAAATGTTTATCACACTATAAACTTAACTGTAATTATACAGTAGTTCGCGAAGCATTGCAGAAAGAATAGCATTATGAAATTAGCACATGGAACATCAAATATGGACAAGCCTAAGCGATGCCTCTATTAAGTGCAAGTAGCGTTAGACGTGGTATTGATCAATGGTGAAAGAAAAACCACTACGATATGAAATGAAATAAGCAAAACATATTTAATTTAGAATATATAGCATTGCCAAAATTGACAAACCTCAGACTTGGAAATTTTAGAATTATTTGTTTATACGTCAACACGACAATAGGCCTCTTCTTCATCACTTGCTCACTGATACACATAATCTGCAATATCCTAGCGTGCAATAGAGAGCACCAGTTCTGATAACTAGCTGCTTTAGTTTACAATTTCCTTTGTTCTTCATGCATCTTTAGTTAATTCATGTGTACTTCAAAACTATGAATCTGTTAACACAAGTTCACAACTCTCCCAGGAGGACTAAAACCATTGCTTTAGTTTTTCTTTTCGAGAAGGCAAAATTTCAGTAACCGAATCCAATGTGCATTAGGATGAAAATCAGAGATGGCTATGGATAAGAAATATATCAAAGTAATAACTCCGGAAAATCACAAAAATCATAGTTTTAATACATGGAATAAAAGTTACATATAAGACTCAGAGAGTCATAATGACTCGTGAAACAAGGTACATTTAATATCTAATACTACAGATGAATTATATTATATAATCGTAGCAGAAAGTATCCAATATATGTTCTGTCAAACTAAATCCATGTCATGACCCATGCAGCAAACTTCACAGACTGAGGTGGCAATCTCAAAACCTTAATTAGGTACCTTCTATACAGAATGACCAGTGCCATATATAATTACTCAAGGAGTAGCGGGTTTGTATGGTGGAGAAAGTGAAGGAAATGGTATCTCCTTTGGTAGGCTTGGGGAGGTTGGCAATGCTGGTTTAGGCAGTTCCGGGATTTCTGGTTTTGGGATAGCTGGAATCTCTGGCTTAGGTAACTCAGGGATTTTTGGCTTTGGTAGCTCCGGGATTTCTGGCTTTGGCACAGCTGGAATCTCAGGTTTTGGCACCTCTGGTTGCTCAAGCTTTGGCACAGTCGGCACATCAGGCTTTGTCATAGCTGGAGGAAGTTCAGGCTTTGGCAGTGCTGGAACCTCTGGCTTTTTTAGGGGAGGAAGCTCGGGTTTTGACAACTTTGGGATCTCCGGCTTTGGCACAGCTGGAATTTCAGGCTTTGGCACTGTTGGAATCTCAGGCTTCGGGAAATTTGGTAACTCAGGCTTTGGAACAGCTGGTTGCTCAGGCTTTGGCATAGTAGGAATCTCAGGCTTTGGAACCGTTGGGATTTCAGGCTTTGGTGCGTTTGGCAACTCGGGTTTTGGCATTGCTGGGATCTCAGGATTTGGCATAGCAGGAAGCTTGGGCTTTGGCACTGGGATCTCGGGTTTCGGGAAAGTTGGTAACTCAGGCTTTGGGATAGCTGGCATCTCAGGCTTCGGCACAGCTGGTACTTCGGGCTTTGGAATAACAGGAATTTCAGGCTTTGGTAAAGTTGGAAGCTCAGGCTTCGGGACAGTTGGGATCTCAGGCTTTGGCAAGGTTGGAACTTTTGGGAAATCTGGTTTAGGAATCTCAGGGACGGGGGTCTCTAGTAGGCGACGTGCAGTTGCACATGTTATGTGGCCATTCATGAAGCATAAATTGAGAAATGCAAGCAGTAAGAGGGAGGATAGGTGATAATGCTGAGCCATATTTCTGCAGATCCTTGAAGCTTAAAGAAGATTGTGTATAGAATCAGTGAAATTCGGATGTGGCATTGGATACAAGGCTGTTGCTATATATAGGTGGTTTTACATGCATGCAACAAAAGGACTAAAATATTTTGGTTGTTGGGAAGGGATATGTTAGTTGAACTTCTCATCTATTTGCCTGCCAATATTATCTTGAAATTTTTCTTCTGGTAGCTCAAAATCTGTTTATTAACAATATACTGTATCTATTACTATACCATAATAGTCAAAACCTGTCAATATCACATCTAATAAGCTGGCACTTGGTAGAAAACATTGGTCAGTTGCTTCAACTTCCTTGCAAAGAAATCAATCTCTGCGTCACATTTTACGTAACTTTAGTTTGGTTACTGACTACTAATGGCAAAGAAGGGAAATTACGAGAATTTATGAGTGCCAAAGAAAAAGTCATTAACGTAATTTTTCAATGCAGCTAAAGAATTGTTGGATCTACAGCTAATTAATATGATCATCCAGGAAGCAAAATGTGTTGAAAATACCTTACGCGTTATTTTATAATTAACTCTAAATTTGCAACCACAATGTGATTGATGTCCTTTCTATATTTGTTGCTTTTCTAACTTAGTGAAAGTAAATCAGAGGCGGGCAAAAGAAAACGCCTCATGCCTTGTAAATCAGATAATTGAACTTGAACAAGGTAAGCATTATATACCACAATGTTACTGTAAAGGTGGTACTGCTAGTTCACTCTTACTATACCTAAAATCGTGGAACTTTGGACTAAATGTTTTTCACAATAAAATAAAAACTCCCTCAATCCTACTTTTTGTGAATTTGTTTGACTCGATGCGGCATATCGTATTAATTTGAATTATATATATTAGTAGTGAGAAAATATTTTAAAAGCCAATGATAAGTTATTTTTTATGCAGAAAAAATTACATTAAAATTAAGAATTTTAGTAATTTATAAATGAAATATTTGAACTCTTAAAAGTTATGAATGTTTTTACAGAACAATATTATTAGTAAAATAGTACTGCTAGTAACTGTTGCGGAAGCCAAATGTATATAGTGTGAATAAGTCACAACTACTATACCAAAAATT